GAAATGAACTGGTATGTCGTTGAACATGGGGAGAAAAAAATGTTCTTAGAGTATAAGGAAGTACTTTCTTGAAGAGTAAGAGAAACTGAGATTGGCACCGCTTCTCCTTTTTTCATCCCCATCTTCAGAAAAGTTATCACACTTGATGGTCAGTGATGGAGATCCCCTAATGTACAGTAACGTACAGTTTAATTTATGTTTCGGGGAAACTCCTTTGAACCTTTCGACTGCTTGGGGAGGAAGAGGGGGGCTTAATGGGGGTGGGGGGGTGGGGGAGAGACACAGATGCAGAGCAATAAATAAAAAAGAAATAGCAGCAACAATAATAACTATAATACTTAAAAAATGACTAAGAATAATAATGATGATGAAGATTTAATGTGCAGAAGGAATTGACACTTCTTGTAAGAATATCTGTTGTTTATAGACGTAAATATATATTATTTTTATTATTTTATATATATATATTTGTACAACCATCTTCACATTGGGGGTTGCATCATTCATAGAAATATTAGGAAAATCACAATAGTGCAATATCCAAATTGCTGAAGGTAAACTCATTCAAATAATAAAAGCAATAAAATGAAGCAGCTCTGCAGAGATGTCCATGGCCGACACATCTTGTTCTCCAAATGTTTCTTTGGTACAGATAAATGTCACATCATCATATTTTTATTTATTTTTATTTTAACACAATTGTAATTTTTTTGTGTGATTTTAATCATATCCTGCAGCCGTAGAATATATGTAGCAGAGGTGGATCATTGTTTATCAAGTCACAAGTAAGTCTCAAGTCTTTGCCCATCTAGGTTCTAAACTTTGTCGTCACCAAATATAACGCCATATAACAACAGATTGAATTAAACAAAATTGTCTTTGGTCTTAACTTTTCCAACTGGCGCTCAGTAATGTGACATTAGTTCTTCATGCCTCTCTCCTGCAGCATGATTGGATGCTGTCGGATTGGTTGGAAAAACAAAGTGGATCTGGGGAATAGAGTGTCGACTTGCTGCGCATTAATAGATGAAATGATTTGTGGCATACTTTTAAAATAACGTACTTTACATAGGATTCCAGTGGCGTTGTTTCACTCAACCTGGAAACAAAGATTAGCTGCTCTGGCTTGAGTATTGTACAGCTTCTACAATATCTGAGATAGAAAAAAACACAATCATTGTTCTGCAAACCAATGAATAAAAAAAACTACCACGTGACTGTGACAATATTATATACTTTTCCATAGGATCTGTGTTCTGCATATAAACGGTGTTGCATGTGGTTGTCATGTTTTTTTAGTAAGCCACTATGACGACAGGCAACAGCTGTTGGAGGGATTGCCATGAAATAGTGAAATTTATTGTCCTCCCTCGGGCTGAATTGTAAAAACTTTGCTGATCCGTGAATCATTTGGCACCATCAGCAGGTCCAATTTCTTGTTTAGGTTTATGATGGTTAGCATGTTAGCATCATCATTGTGAGGGAATTAATGTTAGCATTTAGCTCCAGTGCAGCCTCACAGACTTGGCTGGAAATTTGTTGGACTCCAATATTTATGAATAACTACTTTATTCTCATTATTTTCTTATACCCATTTCATAATTTCCACACAGGTACACTAATGCATGACGCTAATGTTGTCAGAAACAAGTTCTAGCTCGCAGTGCTTAGTATCTTCAGTGATTTGTCAATCTCTAATGATACTGAACACTCAAGAAAAAATTCCCGGATTTATTCAGAGGAATGGCTAACCACTTTAGCTGGTGATCCACATGAGGTGATGACTAAAAACTTAATAAGACTTCCAAATAAAGATTAGAAGTCATACCCTTGTGGGAGTCATACATTAAGTGAGGTAAGTGAGGTAAATATATAAAAAAAATTATCTACTTAATACATTTCTCCTAAATGTCAGCAACTTTATGAGCAACTTTATGACTCATGCAGTTACAGCGTTTTGCAGTTGTCATCATGGAAGTCCATGTGGCCCTTGTCTTTAACACCATCAGTGGATGAAAGAACCCATGTGTCAGTTTGAGGAGAACTGAGGGGAACGTCGGTGCTCTTCTCTGCACAGCAGGGGAATCTTTGCAATCTTTGAGGGGAATTAGTGGCAGAAAAATTGCATAATGTTATTCCTGAGATCCAAAAGGTTATTACTCACTCAAATATGAAAGTGTTGAATTGAATTACAGAACTGAATTTTGCTTTAATAGTGATGTTGAGCTTCTAAGTGCTGATTAGAGGGTTGTTACTCCACTCACAGACCTGATACAGCTGATCAGAGCCTGTTCAAAGGTATCAATCAAGTAGAGTTAACTCAACAGTAAACAGAGGATGGTTTCTTTGCCAGGAGTTTTGACTAAACCCTTCAACACTCCAACAAAAAGTGTTGATAATCATATCACACAGACAGCTCTTCAAACCTCTTAACCCCTTCAATAATCCATTAATGGTGATTGTGACACACACAAATGACTGCACAGTGCTCAATAACACTGATCAATCACTTACAGTTTTACAATCTGATCACTGATGATGTACAGTACGTGGCTGGGCTTTCTGCTCATATGGAGGGAAAAAAGATTCATCAGGTTTGCCTTTGTGTGTCAGAGACAAAGGGAAAGGGTAGCTATAGTACTTCTGCACTGATGTGCGCAGTATTAGCTCATGGAAAAATGAATGTCTGTCTGTGTGTGTTTGATCTCTCAGAGTGTGTATTACTATTGCAAGTAAGTGTAATGCAAGTGGGTGAACCTGAGACTGCTGACTGTGAGTGCGGAAAAAACTTTGGTCAACTTGTGAGAGAGATTGTGTGTTGATAAATCTTACATTTCCGTCTTAACTGAAATCTTAACTTCACCCATCATTACTGAATTTTTAAGATATACCTGAAAGTGCTGGACTGTAAATGTGAAAAAAAAAGATTCCTGTAAAGTCTGCTTCACGCCTTACTTGTTTTCTGTGTTACAAACTGTTGACGATGTCACTTACAAGGTAAGTTTAGGGTAACAGCAGTAAAGGATGAACAGTTTAATAATGGAGGAGAGTTCAACTTTAAGTATGAAAAAGCGATGATACAGAGCGTGGTGTCCTTTTACCGGCAATGGGAGGCTGCTGAGTTATTGTTTTCTATATTGGGGCATTATGGTGTATATCATTATACAGGAATCATGGCCCCCTTCCATAGACTCAAATTCATGATTTAAAGCTTGCATGTTTGTTCAGTTTAACAACTGGTTAGTTAGTTTCACTCAAGGTAGCATGAAGCAAAAGTAATGTATGAGGAGTTAATTTTTTACATGGCCTGTACAGTAATAAGTAACTATTTGCCTTTCAATATGGACAAAAAAAAAAACAGGAAAATGTGACAGATCCTAGTGGACTGTTGTTTTACTTTGATCAAGTAGTTTATTTAGGTAAAATACATACAGTACTAGTATAGTGAAATTAAACGAGTGGGAAAATTCTGTGAATCACTCATCAGATTCTTCTGGCACCAGTGCTGCTATTTGACAGCTACAGCAGTTGTATCAAAATAGATCAGCTTAGAGCTTGAGGGTAACAATATAACTACGTGTGAAAAAGAAATGGTCAAAGTTCAGAAACATGTAGGCACTGCCAGCACGGCTCTAGTCTGCACGCAGAAAAGGAGAACTTTAGTTCAGCATTCAACACCAGAAAGCCTAGCCAATTTGAGGTGAGGATTGATGAGTGTCATATTGCTGTATGAGAATGTGCAATGGGTGTATGATCACATGGAGTATGGCTTCCTGTCTACAGGGCCTTGGGAAATAGAGTCAAGCGATCGAAGCGTATACAGTAACAGCGATCCCCAACACAACACATCGTGTTGCTTGTGAGCTGATGACACGAGAACATAGTTTAAATTATGAACACATTCCAGTTTATTACTTACACATGAAACACCTAGAATAACATA